GTGTCTGTGTGCCTGTGTACATAAACACAGAGAACAATAAGGAAAGATTGTGTAACTTGACATGCGTTACCTGAGAATGAGGGTGAAAGGGAAGGAGGACAATGGTTTTTTAAATCCTGCTCTTAAACTCACTATATTTGGGATAATTCCCAAATATGTGTATATGGTCATTTGTTTATGTAAGCTGTGTTTGTTTACAGACAATTTTAAATGTTAAATATTTGAAATATACAATTGTGGTATTTACTAGTAAAACAAGGAAAAAAGACTTTATTTGCTATTGATAAGTCATCTGTCATTGTACCATACATTCTTGTTTGCTTCAAAAGCAAAAAGAGAAAATCTGAAACAATAAAAAAAAAAAATTCTAATTAACTCCCATTGGTTAGTCAACTTAATTCTATTATCTTTTTTTTTTTTTTGGTGGGACTGGGTCTTGAACTCAGGGAGTGCTTCACGCTTGCAAAGCAGGTGCTCTACCACTGGAGCCATACCTCCAATCCATTTTGCTCTGGTTATTTTGGAGATAGGGTCTCTCAAAATATTTCCCTGGGCTGGCCTCGAATCATGATCCTCCTGATCTCAGCCTTCCAAGTAGCTAGGATTATAGGCGTAAACCTGTCTCTTTTATCCCTTTCTATCCAAGCTTTTTAATCCTTTTGGTGTTTATCTCAACCACTTCAAAAGGCGTGGAAAACCATACTTTTCTTGTATTGATAAATTTAAATTCTTTGGTTAATGTGTGATTTTTAAGATAATTTATTAAATTGAGTTCTAAGCATTTAAAACTTAAATTTGATTTGTGCATGGTGGCTTAATGCCTGTAATCCCAACACCCAGGAGACTGAGTCAGGAGGATCAAGAGTTTGAGGCCAGCCTGGAGCAATAGTGAATTCCAAGCCAACCTGAGCTACATTGCAAAACCTCTCCCTCTACCTTCTGGTAACAGGAAAATTTTTGTGTCTGCTTCTTTATGTTTGAAAAGATTAAGTTTGTTGCATCTTTTATTTTCGTCTATTTGATATCCTATCTTGCTTTCCCCATTGCAGACATTAATTGCACATCTTCTATATAATAGGCAGAGTACTAGGTGCTAGGATTACGGAAAACTTTCTTACATTTTTCCTTATATTGTGTGAAGCAAGTAGTGGCTGTTCACAGCACATGCAACACTTTTCTGATAGAAGTAAGAACCAGATTCTGTAAGAAAATATGTCATCTAACTCAGGCAGTGTCTTCTTCCCACAGGACTTAGTGCTGAGCTCAAGACAGGAAAGACTGCAGAGCAGAGTACATAATAGTCTTTGGCTTTCCTTAGCCTTATCCACAAAGTTTTAGTCATAACATTTGGTTGTTTTAAGGAAAGATGCTATTTTTCTGTTTTTCATTGGTATGTCTTTATTTATTTATTTATTTTTGAGATAAGATCTCTACATACCCCAGGCTAACTGGAACTTGGGATCTCCTGCCTCAGCCTCCCAATTGCTGGGATTAGAGGTGCATACCACACACCTGACTCTTTATTTTCTAAGAATAAGTGAAGCTCTTTTTATTCCCACCAAAATACAGAAGTAATTTTATTTAAGGGGAAATTTTCCTGTTAAAAAGTCCTTTAAAAAGTATTGGTAGAAAGTGTGCATTCCTGTTTTGAGCTTCCACTTATACTTGTTCACATGGTGTTTATACTCAAAGAAAATTCATATATGTGTACATACATACATATACACATATATATATATATACATGATATATGTGTACATGCACATGTACACATATATAGTCTCCTATGGAAGTACTGTTCATACCAAGTAGCTCACTCCCCATATATTTCAGGGTCAGGTGCTGGTGCTGGTGTTCTCTCTCATCTTGCACAAAAACCGCTGCTTTGTACATTTGTGTTATCTGAGTACGCCACTGTTTTTCTCAATCATCTGCTTCCAGTTTGTCTTTAACAAAATTTCTGATACACTTTGCAGCACAGGAGATCAAACCCAGCATGCTAGGAAAATCTTAACCACTTGAGCATTACTCACACTCCAATCCATATAACTTCCTACTTCCTTCCCAAATCTATTGTATTCAGCCTTTCTCTTACTGATATCCTTTATTCCTCCCCCAATTTACTTCTTATCAAACCAGCCTGAGAAAACTTCCACTCTCGCTTTTCTGAGCACTGCTGGCACAAATCACATCAACAGCAAGAAGCACTGCAAATTTGCTATTACCAGCCTCCAGTGGGCCAGCACAATTGTGCTGTAATTCTGTATTCTCTAGTCCTTTCGTTTTCCTCGGAGGTTATTTTAAACACTTACTACTTGTCACATCAGCTTTCTGCTTTCATTGTCATTCTCAGCAGATCACTTGGAATTTCATTTCACAGAGAAAAGAAATTCTGAGGTGAAAGTTCCCACAGTTTCCAGCCACCAAACCTACAAACTTACTTATATTTGCACTCATTCTGGTTTGTGTGCTTGTTTGTTCTTCCTGTTTATTCTGGGAAACAATCCTGAGGGAGTGGAAAGCACATATGCCATTAGATAATATAAATATGTAAAGGTAGAATGTTGATGACATTACCTTAAAATTTCAAGTTTTTCACATATTGGGCCAGCTGGAAAAAAGCCTCCCATGATAAAGTGTGCCTTCTGACCTAAGATTAATCTCTACACCTGGACTTTGGGTCCCATCTCCTAACAGTCCTCTCTGCAATATTAATCCCTCTTTTGCTCTTATTTCTTTCCCATCAATATTTGAACATTTTCAAGCTTGCCCTATTCTCTTCTGCACTTTCTCCACTTTGTAGAAATGTAGAAGGAATTTCCTACAGTTTTGGTGTTTGACAAACTTGTATTGGAGTCCTCATTGTCTGAGCTCTGAGACTTGGTTCTATAAGCCTCGGTTTTCTCATCTGTGAAAATGAGGATAATCTTTATACCCAGTCAGAAAGCATTGCCATAATGTACATAAAATATGAGAAAAACCTACTAAGGATTCATACCTGTTTGCCTCAGCCTCTAGGACTCTCCCTTCTGACCCTGCTCTTGCATACTTGGCGTTTGTTGTTGGTTTCCTCAATGTATGTTCTAGGAGCACTCTCCCTGTTGTGGTTCCCAACATATACCTCTGGCTTACCCTTTGCTTCTTTGAATACTCCTTTGAGTTTCTTAGATTTTTTTTTTTTTTTTTTTTGCCCATCCTTGAAATGTTTATATTCCTCGTGTTTATTCCTTTGGATTCTGTCATGGTTTTTATGCTGTTATTAAACTATCAATTTGGCTGTGATCTCTCTGGAAGCCAAAGCAAAGAGGTAGCATAATAACCATTTTAATTTATAGCTAACGAGCATTCACTGTGTGTCATGTATTTTTATGGCTTCACATGTGTTACTGGATGTAATCTTTGTAAGACCTCCACAAAGTGAACACTGAAATGTGAAGGGATCACCTGACCTGCCCATAGTCATACTGCAGGTAATTCAATTCTCATTGAATTCTGGCTTTTGCCTTCCTAACCATAACACTACACTCTTCCAATGCAGTGATGTGGTTGATAGTGTTTAGGAGGGAAGTAAATCTTTTTGGCTTAGATCTGAAATGATGTATGTGATGTATGCGAAGTAATAGAGCATTCGCAGCTTTAATCCTGTAATAAATACCATAATAACATTCCATTCTCATAGAGAACTTAAGCATAGGAGAACATAATACTAAACCAAAACAAAATACACTATGTACAGTTTTTTTGTTTTTTTTTTTTTTTGTCTTTTTGTTTTTGCAAAATAATGGGATTTCTCTTGAAATTTGGGAGCTTACATTTTAAGGTATGTTTAATAGCTTAAAGAGGGGGGAAATTGTGTCTTATTCATGTTTGTATCTTTAGTACCTAGCTTAAGACCAGTCGAATAGAAATAACTCAGTCACTACTTGTGGAGTGAATGTAACCACACTGGTTTAGTCAGCTACCAGGAAGGAATGACTCAACACAGGATGTGTTTGCCATGCCATGTTCTAGGGGTAGAGTCTGCAAGATCAGATGTGTTTGAAGGGGAAAAGTAAGTAGCTCAGTCCCCGGAACCTGCTTTCCCTTCCAGTTTCCATTCATTTATTTCATCCTGCTACATACCAGGCACCATATAAAAAGATTGTGATCCAGTGGTGAACAAGTGCAATCATGCTCTGAAAGAGGCAGGTATTCAGGCAGAGGGAACAGGTTAGAGGAATCATGGTGCACTCAGGGACCTTAAGGTGTCTATTAAACTTGGAAGGTGAAGTGAATATGAGTATTGGTGAGAAATGAGGCTGCAGTAAGCAGGACCAGATCAAAGGACCTTGATGGCTGGTTCAAGTGGTAAAGCATCTGTCTTGCAAGCACAAGGTGCTAAGTTCAAACCCCAGTACCACCAAAAAAAAAAAAAAAAAGATTGCAGGACCTTGTGATCCACTTTTAAGGTTTTTACTTCCATCTCCCCATATCTCAGCAATCCCTTTTTTGTGTGACTGGGATGGTGAGAGTGGGGGGGAAGTGAATGTGGAGATGTGTGCATAGGATCACACAATTCTTTTCTGCTGTGTATAGCAATTGGAACAGCATGGTTGATTTTTTCATTAATATTTTTATTGTAGATATTGATGTCTACTCATATATAGCTCTTCATCTCTAAATTATGAACTCTTGGAGGACAAGGACTTTGTTTCTGTATCTTTAGCATCTAATAGAAACTCAATAAATATTGAAAATGTCATTTAACATCAGTAGTCTGTTAACCAAATCACAGTCGTCATGTTTGTTCTATGTAAATAGTTTAGGTGTTAAACAAATGAGCTTACAAAGTACTTCATTAATTTAAGATTACATGTCTCGAGTTACTAAATGTAGCAGAAAAACAGGATTTTTGGTTTAATTATGAGGAAGGACATTTCACAGCTTAACAGAAGAATTCAGTACAGAATTTGGTCAACTATGTTTACTTTGAAGTGTTTTATTTTTCCTTTGATTTATAGACATATGAGGAAGATCGAAGAAACTACTCTGAACTTCAAATTAGATGTCAGCGTTTGGCCTTAGAATTAGCAGATACAAAACAACTGATTCAGCAGGGAGACTACCGTCAAGAAAACTATGATAAAGTTAAGAGGTAAATCCTTAAGAGGCTGTAGTAGTCCTCATTTGTAGCATGTGTCAAAGTCACCTGAGTCCTTGTCATCAACACTGTTAATTCTGCTCTTTTCTTCTTCATAGCACAAAGCATGCAGCTTGTTGAATATAACTTATATTTTTATAGTGACTGTTTTTATTTTATCTAGACGTCATTGCTTCCTTTTATGTGAAAGAAGATAGGAACCCAGTAAAATCCCACACATGTAAACATTTTAAATGTTATTTAATTATTATTTTTATGTAATAAAAATGATTTTATACTTCACTTTTCCCCAAAATGTTTTTCACCTGTTGATTTCTAACAAAAGGCACTCACTGTTTCAAAACATGGTACTTTCTGAGAATGTGTATTTCCCATATATGTTGCTTTTAAGTAACTATGACAACTATCTTCCTTTAACTAGAATGTGCTTTTCTGTTGTTTGTACAATAGTTTAATAAATCACTCTTCAGCTGTGTGTCCCTTGTAAATCTCTTTTAATTCTGTGTCTAAATTTGTCATTTCTAGGACAAATAAGTGCATTATATAAACTAAGATAAAATAAAGGACTATCTGTGAAAGTTTTTAACTAAATATGTGTGATATATGTATAGATAGAGTGACCCTGTCCTAATTACTCAGTGCTCTATCTACCTGTAGCTAAAATAATTCCTGAAATATAGTAATCACTCAGTGAATATTTCTTAAATAAGTGATAACTACTTTAAAATGTATAATTTAAATTATAAATTGTATATATGTATGCATTCTGAGACCAAAGTATGGTAGTTACTGGAGCTTAAAATCTATGAGAGATGTACTCAGTGACTCCTGAGTACAGCTGAATTGCAGAAGAAGTATTTTAAAATGAGGTAGAAAGCTGGGCATGGTGGCCATGCCTATAGTCTCGGCACTCGGGAGGCAGAGGCAGAGAATCACAACTTCTAGGCCAGCCTCGGCTCTATTGCAAGCTCCGTTCCTGCCTAGGTTACATAGTAAGACCCTGTTTCAAAAAAACTAAATAAATAAATAAAATGTAAAATAAAATGAAATAGATTGTGATGGTACGATATAAATCCTTACCAGTGCTAGGTAAATGATAAAAAGAAAACTAAAAAGCGTAGTCATTAGAATAATCCAGAAAAACCATGAATGAAGGATAAATGAAGCAAGATGAGTCATGACTTGGTAGTTGTTGAAGTGGGTGATGAGAGCATGGGTGTACATTATATCACTTCTGTTTTTATGGTGTGTTTTCATCTTCTATAATGAAAACTTAGGAAAGAAAAATAAAGCCTTGATTAAAAAGCGTACTGAGCATTTTCGAGTGCTGGATGTGAAACAAAACCAAGCAAGAGGGGTTCATACTACAAACCTTTTGGCTCATGTGGTAAACTAAGCAGGTTTTTTAAAAAATAAACAGGCTGGGCATGGTGTCCTATCCAAGTAGCCCAGGCTGGCCTGGAACTCATGATTCTCCTGCTTCTGCTTCCTGTGCTACACACTAGTTCAAGCCAGCCTAGGCTATAAAGTGAGACCCTGTCTTAAAAAACAAGGGATAGGGATGTCGGCTCAGTTGTAGAGCACTTGCTTAATATGCCCTCCATTCAGTCCCGAAAACTACCAAAAACAAACTGATCATAAAAATATAAGGTAAACTGGGGGATATGCACTTGATAACGTCACATAAATATGCAAAAAAAAACCAATATATGTGTGTTTACTGCAAAATGCTTTCATAGTAGAATGGAAACTGTAATTTACTTCTACATATATCTAGGTGGCAGTTAAAATTATTAAATGAAAAGTGAATTTTTTAAAGCAGTTTCCTACCTTCTGGAATAAAATATTGTTCCTAGTTTTATTTTGTTTGTTTGTTTGTTTTGGCAGTACTGGGGGGTTGAACTCAAGGCTTTGTACTTGCTACTAGCTTTATTTCATAATTTTTTACTTTTGGTCATCCTGGGATTTGAACTTAGGGCCTTATACTTGCTAGATAGGCTCTCTACCACTTAAGCCATACCCCTAGCTCTTTTTTGCTCTTTTAGTTATTTTCATATAGGATTTCACATTTTTTGCCTGGGGGTGACATGGGCCACCATCCTACTTATGCCTCCCATTTGGCTAGGATTGCAGGTATGAGCCACCATGCCTGGCTTGTTGGTTAAGATGGGGCCTCACTAACTTTTTGCCTGGGCTGGCCTTGAAGCACAATCCTTATGATCTTTGCCTCCTGAGTAGCTGAAATTACAGATATGAGCCACTATGCCTGGCTCAATTTGTAACTTAATTACCTTTCTCTAAGGAGTCCTGATTTCTTTTAGTGGGAAATGCTATTTAGAAATTAAAATTTGGGTACTATGTTTACTACTCTCATTGGTTCTTTTGCAGTAAGCAAAGGTAGTAAAGGGGGAAGAAGAGATAGGAAACTTAGCACTGTGGGTAAGATTATACTGGTTCTTGTAATTCCAGTTCAACACCATAGTAGTCAGTTGGAAGAGCTCCATCCGGCTCAACAAAATACAGTACCACCTGAATACAAATGATAATGATGACTTCTAGTTCACTGACAGAGTAAGAACCTGTGGGCACGCAATAATAAATTAGTAGAATGCCAACCAGTAAATGTATGTGCAGATCAGGAGGGCTATTTGTAGCCCTATCAATATTTCATCAGAGTCATCAGTGCAGTCTAAAATCATCGGTGTGTTAGGAAACAGGTTGTTTCCTTCCACAGTCTAAACGACTCACTGCGACGCCGGTGGTGAGCAAATAATTGTTAACACACCTCTCCATGGCAAAGTGAAATGCAAAGGCCCTGCTTCCCTGGGAGAGGAGAGGTCAAGAGCAAGTCTCTGCTCATTTTTTAGGATGCCTGTTCCTTTGGTCCAATTCTTACTTTTACTGTTCCTAAGAGAGAGCTGGTCTGAAACGGAAATTAAAATATCTGGAAAATCATGAGCAAATTGTGACTGAAGTAGTCACAGGAATACTGACCAATGTGTTTGCTGTGCAGTGTGAATGTCAGTGGTGGACTGAAAACCTAGAGTCACATATAAATCCTTTAAGAGTTTGGCTTCAAGATAAGATTGGAGGTGATTAGTAAAAAAAAAAAACACCAAAAGTATATCTTAGAAAGTATTATTTTATCACAGTGAACCCCCATGCCGTACAATCAATATACATTGACAAAAGAAAAAAGAAAGTATTATTTTTAAGGTAATTTTGATATTTATCAGGTCTTGAGCAGAGTTCCTTCTCAATTTGAAAAGTAGATACTTTATAATTCACAGATGACATCAAACCCCAATGCCTAGTGTCTTTGTGCAGCTTCTTCATTCACAGTCAGCCTTTTTTAAATGCTTATTGTAAAAGAGGTTGTAAAATTTACATATGTGTTTGAATTTTATTTTAATAGTGAGCGTGATGCACTTGAACAGGAAGTACTTGATTTTAGGAGAAAACATGAAATACTTGAAGCCACTCACATTACTCAAGTTAAAGAAAGAAGTGAATTATCAAAAGAGGTAAGCTTTTGTTAGAATCACTTGTTTTGTTGCATAATATTAGTTTAAAATAGCCCAGGGTAAAATTAGGGAAGAGACAGTTTTCCTTTTTTGATGTAGTTGCCAGGAAAAAAACAGAAACTTTTAGGAGGTCTTTTTGGATAGACAATTGCAAGGTAAGAATTAGAAAAACTAGAAAAAAAAATTAAAGGAAAAATTGTTTGTGGTGAGCACAATGAAAGACATTAATCCAGTCAGCTTTGAAAAGTTCCTTGTTTTTCTCTCCACATCCACAGGTGACCACCTTACAGCAGACGGTTACTTTACTGCAGAAGGATAAAGAATATCTCAACCGCCAAAACATGGAGCTCAGTGTACGCTGTGCCCATGAAGAGGACCGCCTAGAGAGGCTGCAGGCTCAGCTCGAAGAGACCAAACGGGCTAGAGAAGAGATGTATGAAAAATACGTGTCATCCAGGCAAGACTAACATCATTTCCCATATAAACAGAAGGAAATTAGCACCCTTTTTTTTTTGAGGGAAACTTGTTTCGGAGAAGATGAGTGATTTTTTTTTTTTTTTTAGGACTTTACTCTGGTATTAAGATAATACTTCATTTTGTTTCCTTACAAGGTGTTTTTTTCTAGTTTATTTCCTTAAAGACATTGTGATTTCCCTAGTAACACCAAAAAGTCTATTTCTTTTAGATAGGGAGATATATACTACAACAACTTTTTTTCTTACAAAAAAATCTTTTTAAGTCCATGTAGCTAAGATTCCTTATAAGCATTTTTTGAAATAAAGTATATGAATATCTCTGTGGAGATATTAATTTTGAAGAAACTGAATGTTCTGATGATTCTTCACTATGTGAAACCTAAAAAAATGAGGAAACACCATTGCACATTGTTTTAGGTTATAGACCCTAGAATCAGGCTTCCTGCACTTTCATCCTGCCTTCTCTCTCTCTCTTTCTTTTTGGTTTGTCTGCCCTGTTTTAGTTTTGTTGACAGTCTGGCCTGATGAAACTCCTTTCTCAGCCTCGCAGGTGTGTACCTCCCTGCCTGGCTATGCCTCTCTCTTCTATTAGATGTCTATAAGGTATACTTGTACCTTTGTACTCACAGCCCTTGAGTTTATTTTTATCAGCGTATCAAAAGCTAAAAGTTACAGTTTTACCTTCAACAGTTCTCACGTTCCTAAGTCTTTCCCTAGCGTACACAGCTTTCCATCAGCTTGTGCTCTACTTGCAACGCCCTTTGGAATGCTTTGACTCGGCTAAAAATCACGATGTGGGTTTGGTGGTTGCTCTCGGAAGGAAACATTCTATAACGCCATCTAGAGTGGTTTTTTAATATTTTGTTAATATTATTTACGTCTCAACATACAGATTATTTTTATAGAAAAGACATTCTTTATTCATCAGTTTTCAAACCTTGGCTCTTTGCATTAAAAATTATTAGTAAAATTTTTTGAAGTTGAATAATTATCCAACATGAATTACTGACAGCTATCTAGTATTTAAGCCTATCAAGCAATATGTTTGACAGGTTGAGATCTTAGATAGAACTAGTGTGGAACAGTATTGTTAGGAATTATAAAATTTTATATCTCAAATTGCTGAGTTTCCTAAACATACTATATAGAGCAAACGATGTAAGATATTAAATTCTTAAGTGGAAGACAAAAGCCTATTTCACAAAATAAATTCATTAATATTGCTTTTGATTCCTTGCAGAGACCATTATAAAACAGAATATGAAAGTAAACTACATGATGAACTGGAACAAATCAGATTGAAAACTAACCAAGAAATCGATCAGCTTCGAAGTGCCACTAGGGAAATGTATGAACGAGAGAACAGGTAAGAATAAAGTCTTTTGTGATACTGTATTTATCTTTGAGGGCTATAGCAATGCTTTTGAAATTAAATGCCATTTCTATGAGATAATGCCTTTCAATGCATTCGAGAAAACTTGTCATAAACTAAACATAAGTAAAATGGAAATATTAAAATTCTAAAATCTTTGCTAGCTAGTTTAGAACAGGGTTTAAACAGGCTCAACATCTTTTTCTCTGGTAACTTGTCTTTTTGCCTTTGCCTCAGTTCAGATTAAGGACAGAGATGCAAAGAAAATTAGAGGGGAAGAAATACTTTTCCTCACATGGTTACTTTTGCACCAGGACAATGCAGGCTCCCCTAATTCGTGATGAGCAGCGCTAGGGAAATAAGAGCTGCTTATCTCACAGATAAACGGTTTTATACACTAGCCTTACAGCTGTATGTTCTAATAGGAAATTGTTTTGAAGTTTGCTTCTCATACTAGTTTATCAAACTGTTGCAAGTATATAATACTGTGATTGTTGTCAGCAAGACTTTCAGTCAGATGGAGGAAGCTGTGCTAAAGGAGAATGATGGAGGGGTGAATTCAACTATGATATATTGTAAGAACTTTGGTAAATGTTACAATGTACCCCCAGTACAACAATAATTTAAAAATATATATATATTTAAAAAAAAAAAAAGACTTTCAGTCAGACTTAACATACCATTTCTACTATAAGTGTAGTAGCAGAAAACTTGGAGTTTCCACCCAATTCCAAAGGAAAAAGATGCTCTCTTATTACAATATTTATAAGACAGCCTATACTACAAAAACTTTGGTGACACTGGAGTTTGAACGCAGGGTCTCATACTAGGCAGGTCGTCTACAACCTAAGCCATGCCCCCATCCCTTTTTTGTGTTATCTGTTGTTCAGGTGATGTCTCATGTTTTGCCCTGGGTTGACTTCAGGTCACGATCATCCTACCTATGCAGTCCCATGTAGCTGGGATCATAGACATGTGCTACCACACCTAGCTTATTGATTGAGATTGGGGTCTCAGTAGCCCAGGGCTGGCTTTGAACCACAATCCTCCCAATCTCTACCTCCCTAGTAGCTGGGATTATAGGTGTGAGCCATTGCACCTGGCCTAAGATATTTTTTAATTATTGATAAGTTATTTTAACATTGTGGATCAGGAGAGATTTTTAAGATAGTGCTGAAATCTTTTTTGAGTAGTATGACTTTGTCTTGTTGAGACATGGTCTCACTGTGGTAGCCAAAGCTGCTCACTGTGTAGCCCAGGCCCCCTGAACTAATGATCCTCCTGCCTCGGTCTCCCAAGTGCAAGAATTAGAGGTGTGTGTCACCACACCTGACTGAGTAATATGATTTTTACTCTTGAGTTTCTTTTATGAAAATGTTGCTTATGGTGATAAAGGAATAGGTACATAATTCATTACATAACCTTTTTTTTAGGATATTTGCTTGGTATGACTTGATAAATAAAAAAACCAAACCATTATTTTTCTCATAAGTCTAGCATGCATAGATTTTTTTTTCTTTTTCTTTTATTATTCATATGTGCATACAGGGCTCGGTTCATTTCTCCCCCCTGCCCCCACCCCCTCCCTTACCACCCACTCCACCCCCTCCCTCTCCCACCCACCCCCTCAATACCCAGCAGAAACTATTTTGCCCTTATTTCTAATTTTGTTGTAGAGAGAGTATAAGCAATAACAGGAAGGGACAAGGGTTTTTGCTGGTTAAGATAAGGATAGCTATACAGGGCATTGACTCACATTGATTTCCTGTGCGTGTGTGTTACCTTCTAGGTTAATTCTTTTTGATCTAACCTTTTCTCTAGTTTCTGGTCCCCTTTTCCTATTGGCCTCAGTTGCTTTTAAGGTATCTTCTTTAGTTTCTCTGTGTTAAGGGCAACAAATGCTAGCTAATTTTTTAGGTGTCTTAACCTATCCTCACCCCTCCCTTGTGTGCTCTCGCTTTTATCATGTGCTCATAGTCTAATTCCATTGTTGTGTTTGCCCTTGATCTAATGTCCACATATGAGGGACATTAGCCAGGCTAACCTCACTCAGAATGATGTTCTCCAATTCCATCCATGTACCAGCGAGGATAACATTTCGTTCTTCTTCATGGCTGCATAAAATTCCATTGTGTATAGATACCACATTTCTTAATCCATTCGTCAGTGGGGGCATCTTGGCTTTTCCATAACTTGGCTATTGTGAATAGTGCCTCAATAAACATGGTGTGCAGGTGCCCTGGAGTAACCTGTGTCACAGTCTTTTGGGTATATCCCCAAGAGTGGTATTGCTGGATCAAATGGTAGATCAATGTTTAGCTTTTTAAGTAGCCTCCAAATTTTTTTCCAGAGTGGTTGTACTAGTCTACATCCCCACCAACAGTGTAAGAGGGTTCCTTTTTCCCCGCATCCTCGCCAACACCTGTTGTTGGTGGTGTTGCTGATGATGGCTATTCTAACAGGGGTGAGGTGGAATCTTAGCGTGGTTTTAATTTGCATTTCCTTTATTGCTAGAGATGGTGAGCATTTTTTCATGTATTTTTTGGCCATTTGAATTTCTTCTTTTGAGAAAGTTCTGTTTAGTTCATTTTGCCCATTTCTTTATTGGTTCATTAGTTCTGGGAGAATTTAGTTTTTTAAGTTCCCTATATATTCTGGTTATCAGTCCTTTTGTCTGATGTATAGTTGGCAAATATTTTCTCCCACTCTATGAGTGTTCTCTTCAGTTTAGAGACCATTTCTTTTGATGAACAGAAGCTTTTTAGCTTTATGAGGTCCCATTTATCTATGCTATCTCTTAGTTGCACGCATAGATTTTTAAATCTTTTTTAAAGGTCTGCATAGAACACATGCCCAAGGGAGTGAATATAAACTCTAGACAATGCACAAAAAATCATTCACTTGTTGCATTCAACAAATGTGTCAAAACCATTCCTTTCTGCCTGTTATCTCTTTTTTCTCTTATTTGGTTTATAAAAGAATTATGATGTAGTCATAATTTAGGATTCTTTTTACAATGAAAATGGCAGAGTATTTTATAATTGCAAAAACATTCCTCATCTGAAAGTTCTAAGAAACCGTTCAGTGCCACATTGCCAGTAGTCAGGCCGAATATGTGCCTTGGGCACCACACAGCAGGGACAAAAATAGATATATTTTGGAGGGAAAGATATATTACATTAATTAGTAGAAGAAATGACCAGATGTGATGGTACATGCCTGTAATTCCAGCACTTGGGAGGCAGAAGCAGGAGTATCTAGCATTTGAGACCAGATCAGGATATATAGTGAGACCAAGCCAAAATAAAATAAAAAATAAATTTCTCATTTAGGAAAAATTAAAACAATTCTTGGTTTCCCTACATTTAATTTATATTTTAGTTTTTGAATTTTCACTTACCAGCGGGAGCATCATAAGTATGTGATTAAGGCCACAGAAGTCCTTCATATTTTCAAAATAGTTGAAAGAAATTTTGGACCACTATTTAAATAACATTATTTTTACATCGTTTAGTTACTATGTCATGATCATTTTCTTTAGGGTTTTTATATATTTATGTGTATGTGTGCAAAAAATAACATATTCAGAAAAAAATTTAAATGAACATTTAATTGAAAATTATAAATTAAATACTGTTTAAAGCCACCATTCAAATCAAGGAGAAAGTATAGTACTACAGAAGTGTCCTTGAGGTCCTTCATGCTTAATTCCTTCCTTCCAGAGTAACTACTAATCTATTCTGACTCTCTTTTGTGTGTTTGGTGCTGGGGTTTGAACTGAGGGATTGCACCTTGAGCCACTCAAGCAGCCCTTTTTTGTGATGTGATTTTTCTAGATAGGGTCTCTCAAACTATTTGCCTGGGCTGGCTTCGAACTGTGATCCTCCTCATCTCTGCCTCCTGGATAGCTAGGCTTTCAGGAGTGATTCACTGGCACCCAGCTCTATTCTGACTTCTGTGCTAATAACTTCCTCACTTTTCTTTATACTTTCATCATCTCTGTCACCTGAAAATAAGCATCTCTGCCTAATATACCTTACTTTTTCCTATATATTAGCTTTATATAAACAGAATCATTATATAGAGTGACTTATTCACATAATTCTGTATTTTTAAGATTCATTTGCTATTGCATTGAGTTGTCGCTTTGTGTTTTTAACAAAAGTATGACATTTTTATAAATGTGCATGTTTTAGGGCATCAGGGTCGTCAGAAGATTGGAGAACCATACATACAGAGATTAAGAAATGCAGAGACATTCTTCATCTTTTGCAAAATTTTACTTGGTTCCCACTCGATGTTAGTAAAGAAGCATCCTAAACCTTTGATTACTTGCTCTTAGAGTTCAAAACACAGATCAAAAGGCAAGAGGTCCTCCAATTGTATGCTCAACTTTATGTTAGAAGACTTTACATTGCAGCTCTCATGTAATTCTCAAAGCAACAAATTGTTTATTTCGCAAATATTTTTTGAGACATACCACCTTGTCAGCTATACGTGTTTGATGCCATAGATAAAGGGTGACCTTTGTCTTTACAAAGCTGGTGGTCTAATGAAGGAGAAAGACAAATAGAGAGGGAGTTAGGGTAAGTATGATGATAATGGAAAAGACAACTGGACACGAGGATGAAATTGCCTGTGTATGTGACACAGCCTTGGGGAGAATCAGGGAAGACTTCACAGAAGAAGAAAGATTCATGCTGAGCTATGTAATGACTAAGAGCAAAGCTATAAGCAGGGAAGGGTACTGGGGGGATGCATATGCAGCCTATATCAGAACTGCAGGCGAGACGAAGTGAAACTGAAAGTCATTTATTATGGCTGAAGCATGGCTGAGAGGCAGGGAAGTATAAGAGATGAAACAGAAGAGGGAAACAGGGACCCAGATCATACTTTAGGATCGTTGTGTGGAGAGTGATTGAAAGATTTTAAGAAAGGCACTATCTGATCTGATTTTACATCAAGAGATCACTGCATGAGAGAATAGGTTAAGA